GGTCCGGGCTGGGGATTCGAACCCGCCACCTCAGGTGTACGTGGCTGGCGCCTTAGCCGGTTGAGCTATAGGCGCCGAGCCAGTTATTAGGTCTTTTTGAACCTTACTGCTGGGCTTTGTCACACTTCATAAATAAGATTTCATGTTGATTTCTGATACACGTTTTCCTTAGGATTTTCTTCTGAGTGACCATTTGTGTTTCGAGTATGGCTTTGCAGGATTCTGTAATATGTATGTAGAGAAACATTTCTCCTGGCAATTTGGGGCAGGACGAGGTCTAGCTGCTGGAGATTGGCCACCCATCTCATCTTTCTGCCATGGTTGATTTCAGATGAGAGTTGTGGCTGCCCGGCCAAGATGAGGATCTACCAGGTTCAAAAATCATAGCTTTAGGAAAGCTCTTATTGGCTCATAAATACTCCACGTGTTGGGGGTAGACTTAAGAAATGGATGACCAGGGCAGTGCCTGTGAGTAGGGCACCCGCCCCATATACCCAGGGTGGTGGGTTCAAACCCAGCCATGGCTAAATTGCAACAAAAATACAGCTGGGCATTGTGGCAGGCGCCTGTAGTCCCAGCTACTTGGGGAGGCTGAAGCAAGAGAATCTCCTAAGCCCAAGAGCTGGAGGTTGCTGTGAGCTGTGATGCTACAGCCCTCTACTGAGGGCGACAAAGTAAGACAATGTCTCTTTAAAAAAAAGATGATCATTTTTTTGGTGACTCAAATCCATTATCTGTTTTCCAGAGAACTGCTATTTAAAGAATCCCTGGCAAATTGCTTTGGCTTTATTAGCTTTGTACATTCAGACTGTCATAAGTTTGGCTCTTAACTATATCAACGGCGTTAGTAGTGGGGGCACTGTGTTAAATGCAAACATTATATTATCCCATTTAATCCCAGCACAGTGCCATGAAGTGTTACATATTAACATCTCCGTTTTACAGATGAGAAAATTGAAGCTGGGAGGTTAAGAGACTTGTCCAAGGTCATGCAACTGGTTAATGGTAGAGTTTCAGTTTGAACTCAGGTATGCCTGGGTTGTAGATGTCACAATGTCTGCCCTGCTAGAGGAGCCTCTTAGAATTAGCTTTCAATTCATTACTTCTTAAGATAGAGGAACGAAAGAAAGAAAAAAACCTCCTTTAGCATAGCTAATGACCCGCTAATGCTGTTTGGTAGAGTAACCCAAGATAGCTTGGCTTTTTAATACATTGTGAAATGCTTTAATTTTTTGTTGTTATTGATGTACTTGTTCAAATTCCTTTTGAGAATGCACATTTATTTTGAAACCAAACCTGTCTTTCTTGCCTACATTTCAGTCAGAACTAAGACATGGTCCGTTTTACTATATGAAGCAGCCACTCACCACAGACCCTGTTGATGTTGTACCGCAGGATGGACGGAATGATTTCTACTGCTGGGTTTGTCACCGGGAAGGCCAAGTCCTTTGCTGTGAGCTCTGTCCCCGGGTTTATCACGCTAAGTGTCTGAGACTGACATCGGAACCAGAGGGGGACTGGTTTTGTCCTGAATGTGAGGTTAGTTCCTGATGACTGATGCATTACCTGCCTCGTTTCCTCTTCTTCCTCTTTCTTCCTTTAATTTTTTTTAATTTTTCAAATAATCTAGATAATAGGGGAAACGGAAATCTCTTGCCTTCCACCTGCTCCATCCTGGTCGCCTTATTTTTTGTTGGACCAGCATCAGCAATGCTTGCAGCCCTGCAGCAATTGGAAAGACAATTGCATTGAATTTTTTTTGCTTCTACCTGGGTCTTTGGATTGTTTCGAGATCTGCAGCCATCTCTGATTCTTCTGTAATGAACATTTTGAAAGTTGACTCCTGAGTCTTTGAGAGTTCACGCATTCTGAAAAGATCTTGGGCTCTTCTTCTTGGATGACATACCCTGCCGTATTGATGAACCATCAACAGTAGCCAAGTGGGAAGACTAGTATTGGTCGTATGTTCTGCGTGGTGGCCGTCTGATGCTTGCTTTTATGCAACAAGTATTTCTTGAGCTCCTGTTCGATGCTGGGGATTCAGGAGTGCACAGAAATAGGCATGAATCATATTCTTTTCAGCAGAAAAGGAAAAATACTGAAATAAGTAAAAGTTATATGTAATGAATTAGAAGAAGAGTACTCTATAGAAAGTGAATTGAGAATGGGAACAGGAAGCCCAGAGGGTTGCAGAGTGTCCCCCCACCCTCCTTAAACATTAGAGGTCTGGGAGGGCGTCATTAAGATTTGAGAAAGATGTGAGGAGGGGAAGAGTGAGCCATGCAGCCATCTTGGGGAGATCCAGGCAGGGGAAACAGCAGGTGCAGAGCTGGAGGCCACAGCTCTCTGGGTTAGTGGAGGCAGCAAGTGCTTCATTTGTAACAAACCCTGCACATTAAACTAGTTATTAAACCCGTTACTAGGGTTTCCACTGTTCTGGAGGGGCTTTTATTCTTGGTGACTCCCAACCATAATTTTTTTTTTTTAAATGCTAAAAATCAGAACGTCATTTCCAAAATCCTTCAACATGGAATGTCTCTTGGGCTCGGAGGTATTGGAGGTAGGTCTCAAGTCAGGATTTCTATGTATGAGATGGAACGGTCACCCAGGTGTCTCTGGTGGGAAACACGCAAGCTATAGGACAGTGTCTGTGGTATGCTTTTGTGTAAGGAAAGAAGAAAGACGAGAATGATATGAAAAAAAATTTGAATGCAGATGAATGTGATGATGACATTGTAGTGATGTTCTGCCTCTAAAATGGTAAGAGAGGGCTGCTGTTCTCTGTGGGTTATCCGGGTTGGAGAGATGTGTGGGATACGCCTTGCTCAGCTGTGCCCTCCTCTGCTCTGAGCCTAACCTCATTCTACTACACTTAGTGGGAGAACTAGCGCCTTTATCAAAGAGAAATTTTTTTATTTGGGTCTTAGCTCTTTCCAGTTGGTTAAGGATACTGCAAAAAGAGGTAGTGGTTCAGATGGGATGCTTTTGCTGCGTGTAATAGTCCCTGATGAATGGCGGTTGAAACAACAGGGATTTATTATCACGTGTAGGAAGAAGCCAGAGGCAGGGCCAGGCCAGAGTTTGTTCAGAACCAGGCTCTTGCCATCTCATTGTTGAGATGCGTGTTCCCCATAACCTTAAGATGGCTGGTGAGGGGGTTCAGGCACCATGTGGGGACAGACTAAAATTCCCCTTTCTTTGCATCTCTTGTTAACAAGCGGAAGGATTTCACCCAATCATCCCCTAGCTCAGGCGTCCTCAAACGACGGCCCGAGAGCTACACGCAGCCCACCAAGGACATTTATCTGGCCCACCGGGTGTTGCTGCCTGTCCTGCTTAGCAGCTGACTTGTCTCGGGGCCTGCAGTCCGGCCCTCAGTGGTCTGAAGGACAGTGAACTGGCCCCCTGTTTAAGAAGTTTGAGGACCCCTGGCCTAGCTGATTTGCCCTTGTACTTGTTGGTCAACACTGGATTCCTAGTCATCAAGCCAAAAAAAAAAAAGCTTGAAATATGCTCAGGTGGCGCTTTTTGTGTTGTAGGACCCAGGCATTGCTAGCCAGGAAAGAGGGCTGGGGGTGTGGGAAGTGCCCAGGTGCTCACCGTGGGTAGTTGCCTAGAAATGAGTCAGAGTCAGACCAGCAAGTGTTGTGTGTCTGTGATGCAGGGCCTGAATTTCTTCCAGGGCTGCAATGCTAAGGCAGCCAACCGGATGGGTCAGCCCCCGGCAGCTAAGCAAATAGATAAGTGTCCACATCGCTCACTGCGTCCAGCTTCTGAGTGTCTCTCGTGTTGGCCTTTTTCTCGACAACCAACGAGACGCATCTCAGGAGTTCCTTTTGGAGCCCCCAGAAATGTGAAGAATGGAAACTGGATCCAGATTATTTGTCGAAAACTTTTCTCAGCTCTTCCTACGCAGATGGTTCAAGAGTGTTTCCTGACATCATCAGAATTTGCTATTTTTGTTGTTGCTGCTACATAAGGATTCTGAAGTCTTAAGCTATAGTAGTACCAGATTTATACAGCTGAATTAGGTTTCCAGCATTTTTCTGGGCCTCCTCTTCGGTAGGAATTTCCCTTATAGCCCATGGAAATAGATGGCTGGACTCTGCCTCTTGTAAGGTTTGCCAGAATGTCCTGAGTTGGGTTCACATTAGTGGAGATGGAGAAGGAAGTCTTGTTCATTATTAGTCCGATCCATCCCTTTTATTCTTTCTGCAGGGGAGTCAATCCTTCTCATCAGGGATGTCATTGAGTTAGTGCCTTGCCAGCTTCCTGAAAGATAGCCCAGAACCTTAAGAAGATCTGGAGAAGTGGTTGCTAAGTATTTGTCCCGTGAAGAGATCACCCGGAAGCCATACATGGCCTTTCCTTTCATTTCCCACTGTTGAAACCCAAAGATTACAATAAGGACGATTTTCAGGTTCCTGTCTCCCCACACCTTTCTGAGGTCACATCGTCTTCATGAGCTATAAAACATTTCCTCGTAAGGCAATAAGTGAATTGTCATGCTTTTTAATTTTTACCCACTGATCTAGTACGTTTTGGTCTAGTATAGCGGTTCTTAACCTGTGGGTCGCGACCCATAGGGACTATATTAAAGGACTGCGGCATTAGGAAGGTTGAGAACCATTGGTCTAGTAAATGGGCGTCTTTGCCAACTGAAACAACTGGTCTCCGTTAGATGGGAAGTGCGTTCTTTACGTGTGAGTTTATCCAACAAATAGAAGGGAAATAAGCACATGGATAGTAATTTCTTTTTACTAACCGTGCATTTGTATATGATTTTAACTTGTAGAAAATTACAGTAGCAGAATGCATCGAGACGCAGAGTAAAGCCATGACAATGCTCAACATTGAACAGCTATCTTACCTGCTCAAGTTTGCCATTCAGAAAATGAAACAGCCAGGGGTAAGAAGAAAATTCGTCTTGGTCTAAGCGTCCATGAAAGTAGTGCCTTTTGTTCTCTTAACATCTTAGCTTTCCGAATACCTTACATGCTCCCTGGGCCTTCATGTGTGCCCAGATTCAGGGGTCTGTGGATTAAGCGTAAGGTACGATGGCATTCAGTAAACTCTGTAGTGAGCATTCTGTGTCCCAAAGGAGTTTAATTGGGAAATGACATATAGTAGAAAGTTGGTGAGGATTTAAAATTCTGATTGGTTGTGAAATGAAACCTCATACCCCATTGGACAAGGGGGAAGCTCTCTGCCCATTCTCGCGGGATTTAGTAAAATTCCATTTCAATGACACAGCTGCGTACAGCATAGTTTATTTATAGCTAAGGTCAGCTGATGGAACCTACCAAGTAAAACTCGACCAGTAACACGTCTGTGAGAATTTGGTTAGTTCCTTCAGTTTTGAAATGGGATTTGATGTACCTGCTTTGCCCCTTAAAGGGCAGAGTCTCGCCAGGTCTGAGCCTCACTGTGATGCTCCGTGTGGCTCTCATATTTACCTATTTATTATAATGGTTTTCAGGACAATGGCGGAAAAATAATTTGTTTTTTAAAAAATGACTATGACAATATAGTCCACGTAATAATGTCAGATAAATCTAAACTTGAGAATGGGGTTTCTCCTTTCTGATTTGCACAAATGCTCTGTAGAGCTCAGCTGTGACCCTTTGTGAAACTCTGAGTCAGAGTTTGCTTTCGAAATCAAACACATGTATGGAAATGTAGGCTATCTGGGCTTTTAGTAATCACTGTGGTTTTATTTCTTTAAAAAGATCACTTTCTTTTTGAGATTTATATCCTGGAGCATACCAATTGGATGTTGTTAAATTGGGAACCCGTTTGGCTCTTGGATACAATCTCAAATCAATGGAAGCAAAAGTGTACATAGTATCCTCAGTTTAGTTAAAAAAATTTTTTTGGGGGGAGGGCTGCTATGCCATGATTTTTATGCTAAGTATGATAAGGAATTATTTCCTTGTCATAGGCTAAATGAGATCTGCTGAATACTGTTTATAAAAATAATGGGTCATGTAGACTGCTACCAGTATAGAATTATGTATAAACCAACAAGAAAGATTGGAGAAGGCATTAATTCCTTACATAAGTTGTTTGATATAAAGTCAGTCAAGGCAGAAAGTTGCTGACTTTGTCAAAGCATCTTTTCAGCTCGCAGTGGGTTATAATTGTCAATCTTCATGTAAGAGGATAGGATCTATTACTTGGGCACATCGAAAATAATACAAATACCAAAACCAAAACACAAACTGGGCCAGTGATGATCAAAAACGAGGCAAAATTAGAAGATGGAGCAATTTGGAGCTTCCCAAGGTCATGCTTTGTGGAAACCTTTAGAATTGTATTGTCTGGGCTGGGTATGGTAGCTCACACCTGTAATCCTAGTACTCTGGCAGGTTGATGTGGGAGGATCCCTTGAGCTCAGGAGTTGGAGACCAGCCTGAGCAAGAAGGAGACCCAGTCTCTACTAAAAATAGAAAAATTAGCCAGGCGTGGTGGTAAGTTCCTGTAGTCCTAGCTACTTGGGAGGCTGAGGCAGAAGGATCTCTGAAACCCAGGAGTTGGAGGTTGCAGTGAGTATGACACCATTGTAGTCTAGCCTGGGTGATAAGAGCTAGACTGTGTCTCAAAATCACGCTGTATGGTCTAAAACGTCTCCATTTTTTAAGTCGTTTGTTGGTTTTAATGCTTCGTCTTCCACAGCAATGATGGGTTTGTTCCTGTGTATATTTTCTTTTATAGACAGACGCATTCCAGAAGCCTGTTCCGTTGGAACAGCATCCTGACTACGCTGAGTACATTTTCCATCCCATGGACCTTTGTACATTAGAAAAGGTTGGCCTCTGTCAAAGAACCTCATGGTTGCAGCCTACAGTTGTCAAGATGACGAAAGATCCCCCACTTCCCGTGCACTGTCTTAGATTATTTCCCTGCATTTTCCTTGTTCCATTTTTATTTGGGTAGAAGAACTCTTGATGCCCCAGCTTCTTTCCTCAGTAACATTCTTCTAAGATGGTAGTGGAGGGTTGAAATCCACAGATAACGCTTCAGCAAGCGATGTCTCGCTTTTTACTTGAAAAAGTCGTAACATCTGAGAGTTAGTGATTTGATTGATGGAAACCTTACCTCCCCTTTCTTTTCTTTTGGAGGTGCTAATGAGAGCAGCAGGAAGGAAGAAGAGAAAATTAAGTGTTTGGGGAAACCTCCAGATGAGCAATAAAGATGGAGGCTTCTTAGAACTTGGCCTATTATACTGATAAGGGTATTTCTTGAATGCCTGAAGGTTATTTTAAGCTTACATTAAACTTCCTCGGTAAAAATTACACTTGTGACACTTTATTTAGATGGAGCACATCATCTTGGTGCTGATTTTGCAACTGTTCACAGGAAAACATGGGTAATGAAATGCATCCATAAAGAGGAAACACTATTTCATATTTCTGTTCTGATAGCTTAGAAACGATAAATTGACTCTGTTTCGGAAAATAGCACACAGCCTCAAGGTGTGTTGGAAAAAAGAAGGGATTCTGAATAGACAGGGTTGGAATTCTAGCTTTGTAAGTTAATAGCTTGGGAATTTAGCATATGTTCCTTAACATTACTGTACCTCAGTTTTCCCTTCTGTAAAATGGGGCTGATGATAAGTACTGCCTGCCCTGAGTCATCATGAGCTTTACATGAGGCGGTGTGGCTGATAAAAAATAATATATGAGTGTGGCACCTATGGCTCAGTGACTTGGGCGCTGGCCCCATATACTGAGGGTGGTGGGTTCAAACCTGGCCTTGGCCAAACTGCAACAAAAAAGCCAGGTGTTGTGGCAGGCACTGTAATCCCAGCTATTCAGGAGGCTGAGGCAAGAGAATCACCTAAGCCCAGGAGTTGGGAGGTTGCTATGAGCTATGATGCCATGGCACTCTAACGAGAGCGATAATGTGAGACTCTGTCTCTTAAAAAAAAAATTAATAATATATAAAATATTCTGCTTATTGGAAGAACCTATTTGATAAATGGCAGCTTCTATAAGATGACAATATTCACGTTACCCTGATAAATTCAGTGAGTACCTTTTTGTTTAGGGTTATAGATCTCAAAAATAATAGTATCTTGGGAAATGAGTAAAAGAGCGCTAATACATCTGGCAAACGACTGCTGAGAAAATTATGTGGAGATGCAAGTATTACTTACTGTGGCTTATTTACACTCACTGGTGATTATGCTCCATGGCTTTTCTTCCCAGAACGCTAAAAAGAGAATGTATGGCTGCACAGAAGCCTTCCTGGCTGACGCAAAGTGGATTTTGCACAACTGCATCATTTATAATGGGGGTGAGTGGCTCAGGTGATCCCTAAGTAGCGAAGTATGCTCTGTGTGTGTCGCACGTTCTTAACACCCTCCATCAAAATGCATACCCGACGGCTAACAACCCAGAGTACTTGTGTGCAGATTACCGACATGCATAAAAAGGGGCCGTGGCTACGCGAAGTTCAGGGGAAGAGCTGAGGTCCAAAGTGGCTGGAGGCTCTCGGTTGCTGCTACCGTTTACTGTTGTTTCTAGAAACCTATTTTTTATGGACATGTAATTGCTTAAAATACAATGCACAGGTTTTCTGTGTGCCTTCAGTGAATTTGACAGACATATTAACTACAAACCCACATAAGATCTAGAACATTTCCGTTAGCCTATTTCTTTATTCTTTTTGAGACAGAGTCCTACTCTCTTGGCCTGGGTAGAGTGCTGTGGCGTCATAGCTCACAGCAGCCTGAATCTCCTGGGCTTATGCCATCCTCTTGGCTCAGCCTCCCAAGTAGCTGGGACTTACAGGCACTCTCCACGATGCCCGGCTACTTATTCTCTTTGTAGTAGAGACATGTCTTGGTTTTGCTCAGGCTGGTCTTCCAACTCCTGAGCTCCAGTAATCCACCTGCCTTGGCTTCCCAGAGTGCTAGGATTATCCGTGTGGGTCACTGCGCTCTGCCTTGATTATCCTATTTCATCCCCACCTTGCCTTTCCCTGTAAACCCCAGAAGTGCTATTGGTTTTCTGTCGTTGTAGGTGAGTTTTGCATATTCTAGAATTTCCTCCTATCAGTGGAGTCATATCAGTTGAGATCTCAACTGATATGACTCATTAGTTGAGATCATTGCCCTTCTGGGTCTGGCTTTTTGGGATTCATTTATGTCGGGTGTAATCAGTGGTTTGTCCTTTTTTGTTGCTGAGCGTGGTATCCATCAGCCTACCACTGTGACCTTATTGATACTGATGGATCCCCCCCCCCGCTTTTGGCTATTATAAATAAAACTTCTGTGAACCTGCTCTGTGTGGACATAACATTTTCATTTCTCTTGGGTGAGTACCTAGGAGTGGTATTGCTGGACCGTGGAGTAGATTTATAGTTAAGTTTATAATAAATATCATCCAACTGTTTCTGCGAAGTGATCATAACATTTTGTACTCAGCCAGCGGAGTATATAAGTCCTGGTTGCCCATGTGCTTGTCGACACTTGATATCGTCTGCCTTGTTCCCTTTAGTCTTTCTTGAAGGTGTAAAATGTTATGTCATGGTGGCTTTAATTTGTCTTTCCCTAATGACCAGTGGCATTGAGTATCTTCTCCTGTGTAGTGATATGTATGTATTTTTTGGTAAAGGACCTCTTCACATCTTTCGCTTATTTCAGAAACTGGACAGTATGGAGTTCTTATTCTGGACAAAGTTTTCTTAGTTGTGTTGTCGTGGATTTAGAGCATTGAGTCCTCCGGCCGCAGTGGAGTTTTCCATTCTAATCTTCCCTCTTGGAGATGGCTCATTGCACCCCACAACAATTTCTCTAAATTTTGGCCATGTCCATCCTCCAGTGTCCCGCCCCACCCTGTCGGCTCTTGTCCCCAGGTCCCCTTGCCCTCAGTTGCCCTGCTACAGCAGTCCTACCCCTGTCCTTCAATGTTGGGCTCTCCATCCTCTGAGAAGCTTTCCCTGATTTCCCATACTGTACCAGGTGACCCTGTGCAGGACTCTCACCGTGTCTGTAGTTCCCTGTGTAACATTTTGCTTTCTGAATGGTGCTATTTTTGTTTGTTCCAGTTGTTTATTAGGATGTAAGCTCTTCTGGGGTCTGTCTTCTTCCCTGTATTCCCCGCAGGCCCAGTGTAGACTGTTAGCTAGTGTTTAAGATACACAAATGGGCAGGTGTCTGCTTTAAGCACACAGGTTGCATTATTAACTTACAACGGCCGAGGGTGCAGGGAGGGGAAAGGAGAGGCACTAGGCCCTGAGAAATTGTGTAAAGATTATAAACTCCAATATATAGAAAGCGCTGGCCCATCAAATCATACAGACAAGTGAAAGAGGTCAGCTGGAAGAAAAACATGTATACGAGCCAGATGGCTGCCAGCCATGTGATGTGCGGGCGATTATGGGGAACAGGACACTCCTGTCTGGTCCAGGGAGGTCACTGTGGGCAGCCCCAGTGCTCTGTTGGTTAGGAGTTATCAGATCTTCTGTGTTTTCAAGGCACGTTGTGAAATCTTGTCAACAAATTTATAATTTTTGTAAATATTATAAGGTTCAAAGAAAACACGACTTTTTGACCGTCTTTTGTTCTCTGGTTTAGTGCAATGGTGGAGGATTTCTACACTGGGGCTTACTTATCTTTTTAGTGAAGCATTTCATGTAAGCACAACTCCTCTGAGCCTCAGCTTCCTCACTCATTAAATGGGCACATGATACAGCTTCATGAGAAATTAATAAGAAAACGAGCGCCGGGCACAGCAGAGCTACTTCTTGCCCTCACTCCCTTCTTGGCTTGGATTCTGCACCAATAGGAAGAGTCAGGTTCCGTTCTACTAACTCCCTTTAGGATGTCAAAGCATTCTGAAAATACCAATCTACAATCTCTAGGGAAACCCACATAAGTTGTTCAGTTTCAGAGAAGACAACATGAAAGACACCAAAAGATTGGTCCACTTTGATGGGACAGATCACATAATTAGAACCAGCATTAGACGCCAGAAACCCCCTCCCCCCATTTAAAAACTGAATCCCAGTGGAAAGCAAGTTAAAATGTTGTTGGAGGTGTAATCCCTAGTCTGGGTCTTGTAGTGTTTCCATTAGAATTAATCCTATTTTCTTATTCCCTTAGGAAATCACAAATTGACGCAAATAGCGAAGGTAGTCATCAAAATCTGTGAACATGAGGTATGTGTTTCCCACTGTCCCGTTTCAGATGCACCCAGAGTGAGGGGCTGGGGTAGCCGCTGATGTTTCAAGTTGTAGAATCTCCCAGTGGGTAGCCATGGTGATTCGGCATGTGTTGAAGCACAAACAGAACCATTAGTCTTTCAGGAAAGTAAAAGCAACCAAGAGGTCCCCATAGCTTACTAAATGCTCTAATCTGAGGGAGGCAGAAGCGACTTTTTATGTTTTACCTGTACGTCATGGGCAAGCACTGGGTATTTTGAGTTTTCTTGGTTGCCTAGATAGAATTCATAGTTTCTGACCTTGGCCCCACAGTCTGTGGCATTCGGTCATGTCTCTTTCACTCCTCTTGCAGAAGAGGTTTGGGTTTTGACATTTGGGCGAAAGGCCGTGACAGTTTCTCAGAGCGTAGCCCAGGTGTCCCGGAGAGAGAGTGTCCCTCTTGCAAATACCTATACTTTTGATGGTGTGGATGCAATAAACTCGTTGGGCTTGTGGGCCCTGAGACTGTGGGACAGGCAAGCAGCTAAAGTGACTTTGTCTTTATTAGATCCCTCTCGTAAGAATAAACAACTGAGTTGTAATGACCTTCATCCTGCCTGTGTGTTTGCATTCATTCATTCATTTGTAAAGAAAAATCTGTTTAGGTATCATTTTGATCCATCTAGAGCTGCATATTTGTACAGAGAGTTTTATATACTGCCTTGGCACTTAGTTTATTTATTATTCTTTTTGTATTGAGACGGAGTTCTCAAGCTGTCGCCCTGGGTAGGGTGCTGTGGCATCACAGCTCGTTGCAACCTCAAACTCTTGGGCTTAAGTGACTTCTCTTGCCTCAGCCCCCCCAAGTAGCTGGGACCATAGGCGCCTGCCACAGTGCCCGGCTATTTTTGTTGTTATTGCAGGTGTCATTGTTGTTTTTTAGCTGGGCTGGACTGGGTTTGAACCTTCCCAGCCTCTGTGTATGTGGCTGGCACCCTACCCACTGAGCTGTGGGTACCACCAGCACTTAGTTTATTGTGAGTATTTTTTATGCTCCTAGGCAATCAAACACACATGAAGAAAAGCATTTTTCCTTGCTGTATAATATTCCTATAAACAATTCATGGACATTTATTTCATTGTCATTTTGGTAGTACCCAGTTTCATCAACACTTCAGAATAAATGACAGGGTGATGACTATCATTGCACTTCTGATGATAACCTTAGTATATTTTTTACAAATGCCATTCTAGGTCGTAGGCTATAAATGCGGCAGAGCCTTTAGGTAGAGACGACTTGATTATCTTATAGCAAAGCTGTAGCAAACTAACAGTAGCCTAGAGTGGATAAGTGTGGTCATTTTTCTGCAGCCTTTCCAATACAGGGGATTCCAGTTTTAAAAATACGTGTATATTTGTTTTACCCCTAATATGATCAGTACAAATGGTCGCATCTCACTATACTTTTAGTTT